GGCACTATGCTACCAGAACTCCCCAATCTTAAGATAGGATGAATAATTAGTTTTATGATAATCTTAAGAAAAATGTATGTCGTTGCTGTTGTTGTTGTTATGTGCCATCGAGTTGGACCCGACTCATAGCAACCCCTCCTTGGGTTTCCGAGGCAGTATCACTAGGGAAGTAGATTGCCCCATTTTCCTTCCGAGGAGTGGCTGATGGATTTGAACCACCAGCCTTCTGGTTAGCAGTCAGGTGGCCTTAGCCACTATGCTACCAGAGCTCCCAGAAAAATGTATAGCTGGGCTTAAATTACTATAATGGGTGAAATGTACCGATCCCTAGTCAAATCTATTTCTCCTTAGTCACAAATCTCTCAGAGAAACAATAGGTTTATTTCTTCACTAACTTATCCCCTTCATGTAAATGTCAAATGAATACCAGAGTTTTTTGGGTTTTTTTTTTTTTTCATGCTTTGGCTTAATGAAGTGGCACTTAATCAATAAAGTAATGAATGAAAGCAGCCTTGTGACTTCACAAGTCTAATCACCTGCAATGTTTATAGCAAGGCAAATAATTCAGTGAGCAAATACAAGGTAGACACATCATGTGAAATGTGTCATTTTCAACTCCCACTTTTTAAAGTCTCTTGTCTACAATAATCACTTGAGGAATAAGAAAAAAGAATGTACTTAATATTCAATATCAAATTACAACTATGGCAGACACTGCTGGTTGTCTACCCTCCAGCTATTCCCCACTGTCATTCTTCCTAATGGCATTTTGATTGTTCAGACACTGGAAACAATTGTGCTTCATTATCTTCTTCCTACTCCCTGGGACGCATGTGTTGATTAATCCAAATAGTTCTCAAAGCTTACAACAATATTAACAGGGAACTTGTTAGAAATGCATATTTTGGGGCTCCATTTCAGGCCTACAAATCAGAAACTCTGGGAATGGGGCCTAGCAATCTCTTTCGACAAGCTTTCCAGGAGATTCTGAAATATGCTAAAGTTTAAGAATTCCTGGTCTAAACCAATCAAGGCAATTCTGTTCTCCTTACCAACAACTGGATTAGGCTTGACAACTGTTTTTGTAACTAATGAGGCCTGGGAGAAGTCTCCTGGGAAGCTTCCAGGAATGCTTTACTCAATCACATAAAGAGATGAATGGGAGGAAACAAATCCATGCTGCCTATTTTTGGTGCAGACACTGACATGTATTCATGTGATCCTTGTGCCTATTTTTGCTGCAGACATTGTCATGTCTTCATGTGCATCTGGAACTGTAGCGACAATCTTGTAACCAAAGACCAAGCCAGTAAATTGAAGTGTCAGAGGAGAAAGACTAAAAGAACCTGGGTCCTTGATGACCTCTATAAACTGATGATTAACCCTTGGAGTAGCCAATGTCCAGACTCTTTGTTAAATAATATATATTTGAAAAAAAGGCCTTCTGTGCTCTGGTGGTGTAGTGCCTACAGCATTTTACTGCTAACCAGAAGGCTGGTGGTTCAAACCCACCAGCCACGCCTTGGAAGGAAGATTGGGCAATCTACTTTCATAGTGATACCGCCCAAGGAGGGGTCACTATGAGTGAGATCCAACTCGACGGCAGTGAGTTCTGTTGTACATAAGGTTGCTATGAGTCGGAGACAACTCCACAGCACCTAACAACATCTGTGAACGTGCAATCTTGACTGTAATATTTTTGTTTCTTTTTGCAAGTCAAATGCCAAAATGGTATAAACATAATCTCTTTTTTGTAATACATATTTTAATCTGAAGCATTTTGAAAGAAAAAAAGCTATGGTTTTACTAAATGAAAGTATAAAGAACTTTTAGAATCACACAATTGCAATTATATTTTCGTTTTGGTTCTACTAACAAATTAGCTATGGGACCTTGAATAAATTACTGAAGAGATTTAGATCTCAATTTTCTACCCTGTAGAATGAAAGGCTTATATTACATCACCAGTAAGATCCTGTTTAAGAAATTATACTCTTTGCATTTTAAGAGTTCCTAACAAGGCTTTGTGACAAAAGTCCATCTTTAATGAATTCTATCAATGAAGAATTTTTACGTGACAAGATTTCCTGTTATGGAACTTATTAATTGCTGTACAACTGAGTATCAACAAATATTTCTAGAAAAAGGTGACACATTAGTGGTGCCCAGTTAAAAGGCTGAAAGCTCAGTGTCTGGTACTTGCTCCTGCCAACTCCCAATTATTTATACTAAGAGAAGGATGACATTCTGTGGTTAGACACTATTAATCCAAAGCTTCAAATTCAGCTGCTGATTTAACTTCCTCCCCATACAAAGTTCAAGGAGTATAAAATGCAAAACAACTGATTGGTTGGTATTTCTACTTTCCACTGGAACAGCTTTTAACTCCATGTAAGACAAAAAGGGAAAAGTAGGTTAAAGAGATAACAAATAGCTAAACTGCAAAGATTATTTTTAAAAAAATAATTTTAAAAAAACCATCAGCTTCAGAGAATTAACAGTGATTTACACTTATTTTTAGAAAGAAAAAGGTGTTCCCACACTCTTCCTGCGACTAATACTACCCAAAATCAAACCCACTGCCATTGAGTCAATTCTGATTCATAGCAACTATACAGGACAGAGTACAACTGCCCTACAGGCTTCCAAGGTTGTAAATTTTTATACAAGCAGACTGCCTCATCTTTCTCCCATGGAGTAGCTGGTAGGTTTGAACCACTGACCTTTGTTTGGTTAGCGAAATGCTTTAACCACTGCACCACCAGAGTTCCTTATCTAATACTAAAGGTACATAAAAATCTGTATCAGATGAATGAACAGGTAGAGTATTTTTTAATATATTTCAAAGTCTCTTTACTAAGTATCAAAAAAAAACTTTATAATGGCAACTATACAAAATTGACTTTCTTCTAATTAGAGAGTATCTCCTAAAATAATGCTACTACACTATTACTAAAACCAAACCTACTGCCACAGAGTCAAATCTGACTCACAGTGACACTTCAGGACAGAGCAGAACCTTCCCACTGGATTTCCATGGCTATAAATCTTCATAGAAGCAGACAGTCTCACCTTTCTCACAAAGAATGGCTGGTAGGTTCAAACCTCCAATCTTTTTGATAGCAGCCAAATACTTTAAACACTGTACCACCAGAGCTCCTTATTAGTAAAACAAGGGCTCCTAAATATCTAATAACACTTATATCAACACAAACATAAAAGGTTGACAACTAAATGTCAAAATAATAGAATGTTTTTCTGTGAATGAATGAGAAATTCCAACATAGTTAAAATCTTTTTATTACAAACTTGCAATATAACCATACTCATTTAGTTACTTTACTTCCTTTTTGATTAATAAATATAGGCACTCCCTAACTTAAGAACTACATCAGTTTTGAAATGTGTTTAAGTCTAAATCGTAGGTAGTCAGAACAGGTGCATATAGCTCTTACTTAGCCTTACTTTAGTGGAAGGAACTCTGGTGATGCATTGGCTAAGGCATTCATCTGTTAACCAGAAGGTCGATGGTTCAAATCTACCAGCCACTCTATGGGAGAATGATGAGGCACTCTGCTTCCACAAAAATTTACAGCCTTGGAAACCCTATGGGGCAGTTCTACTTTGTCCGTTACGGTTGCTATGAGTTGGCTTCGACTCGATGGCAGTAGGATTTTGGTATTAGTGCAAGGAAAGGCTTAAAGCCTTTTCAGTAATTTAGAAGCTTCACATATAGCAAGTGAAGCTGACTGTGATGAAGAATTTGTTGCCAAGTTGGGCTGATTCAGTCATCCCAATGTGAGGGCAAACTTACACAATATTAAAGAGCATGTAGGAGCTGTCCTAAAGTCGTATGTCAACCTAGGGACTGTCTTATAGTATTAAAACCATAGGCTTTAGCTGCAGAACTTAGATATAAAAGAATAGGTACACAAATGTTGTGAGTGAATTTTTTGATTTATACCAGGCTCTAATTCAAAAAAGATTTGAGAGAGAACTGTCAGAGCAAACTAAACTGGATGGAAGGGGAAGCTGGGATGTGCGTATGCAATATTTTCACTCTATTCTCTTGCTTAGCTTCTAGATCTAGTGATATGTTTCAAGTTAGGAGTCAGTAAAAGATTAGTTTAACTGAAATAATGGGTTTGTTTAATATGGGAAAGGATGAAGAATCTAGAAAAACAGTTATTCAATGACAGAACAAAAGAAGCATAAAGAGTACAGCAGGTGTTCTTTCACCTTACAATGCAGATAGCACAAGTTCTGTAACTACAGAGTAACTGGCAAAAGGAAAGAAACACAGCAATTCCACTTGTAGAAATGTATTCTAAGGAAATCAATTAGGGAAGCTTACAAAGATGAAGCGTGAGGATATTCACGGAGGGCTGTATATTCAAAATAAGGAGCTAACCTAAACACCCAAGAACAGAAGATTAGTCAAACAAACTATGCTAAAGCTATATGGTGGAATATTCTTATGGTAACTAAAAACAATGATGGATTTAGGAATTTAATGACATGCCAAGATATTCACTGTATTCTATAAGTGTAAAAGCAGCAAACTTACTAAGAAGTATAAACTATATGATCTCATTTTTGTTTAAAAATACAGACAGGCCTATCTATGTTATAGTTATGCATAAAAAGAATTCCAGAAGTATACAGAACCAATTAGCATGATAATGGGTGCTTTTACATTCCAGTTTCTGTTCAGTTATAGACTCTAATTTTGTTTTTCTACAATAAACACAAGTTGGTTTTACAGTAAAAAAAAAATTACTAAAATATTTAATGTGCAGAGATATGGAAAGTTCTTGATACACAGGGATAATACATGTTACTTTAAAAGAAAAAGGAAAGTGTGCTTTAATAGTCCATTTGGAAACATGAAAGTGTTGTTTTATGGAATTGCTTTTTATAATTGTACCAGAGCTAATGGAATTTCACCTGTAGAAAAATACTGAAACTACTGACTACAGAAGAATAAGAGCTATACTTACGGCTGAGTGAAGTCACGAGTGATGAAATCAGAACTCTTGAAAAGTAGAAAGATGTCACTAAGGGTTTTGCATTTCAGTGAACTATTCATTGCTATCCAGTATGCATCCTAAATGATAAAGCACATGCTATTTAATATATAGTCCAAGTTAGTTGCTACAACTGAAGCTCACGCCTATAAACAAATCAATAATGTATACGACCTTCAAGGGCTTTTAAAAAAAAGTCAAGAAATGTAACAATATTGTCAAATATCAAATTATACTTCTAAATAACAAAGAGCATTATACTGCATATCAGACACTCAGTTATGAACATCAGTATGTTAGGGTCCCCACCCTTCAGCTCAGGGCGAAGTACTTTCCATTGTTTTTCCTACTTATGATGACAGAAGAGGGGAAAGACGTATCAGAAACACTATCACTTAACCTAGAGTATTTAGTAAAGAAATGCCTGGACAGCTACTGTTTAAGGAAAAAATAGGTCTTTTCCTTTCTTCCTGATTCGGAAGTGACAACTGGAACATCTGAAGCTTGATGATTGAGGCAATTAACACACATGTCTAACAAGTCTGGGAGAAAAGAAGATAGTTATTCTGAGCCATTACAACTGTAAATGGTGAGGATCTCATAAAGTTTAGTGAGACATGACTTAAAAATGATAGACTAATTCATTTAAAAAACCCCTCCTCTCCGATAGACAGATTTGACACAGGACAGTAATTTAATTTTAAGTAAAGTAATAGTTAAAAATAACTATGCAATTATCCACACTATATGGAAGAAAGCATTGGCACCTAGCATATACTCACTAAAACCCACTGCTGTTAAGTCGGATCCAACTCATAGCGACTTCTCCTTGTGTTTCCAAGGCAGTATCACTATGGAAGTAGATTGCCCAATCTTTCTTCTGAGGAGTGGCTGGTGTGTTTGAACTGCCAGCCTTCTGGTTGGCAGTCAAGTGCCTTAGGCACTACACCACCAAAGCTCCTGTGTACTCACTAATAACAAATAAATGAACAAATGTATAATTTAAAATGACAAATAATCTACCCACCTTAAGTGGAAAGCCTCAACCTAGCTCAGTAGCAAGGAATGATTGAAAATACTATTCATAGATTGATAAAACATTGACTGTTGAAGGACACAATGAGTTTCAACAACTTCTTACTAATCTTTAAAATTTTTCCCACTGGAAAAGATTAACTTCTGGGCATAGATGGGGTATTGAACACACACATTTAACTCCACTAAAACAATAATTAATGCACAGAAAACCATACAACTAAATAAACATGACAATTATTAACTCCTTGGAAAATAAAATATAAATAAGAAAGTACAGTGATCATGTTATTATTAGGTGCTATCGAGTCAGTTCTGACTCATAGCGACTCTATGTACAAAAGAATGAAATGTTGCCTGGTCCCGTGCCATCTTCGCAATCATTGCTATGCTCGAGCCCACTGTTGCAGCCACAGTGTCAATCCATCTCGTTGAGGGTATGCCTCATTTTTGCTGACTTTACCAAGCATGAGCATTGGCACAAGTAATCATATATTATAAGAAATCATAGTAAATATTTCAGAGGCATACTTATTATTTGCATAATCATAAGAATTGTAAACACTGAATCAAAATTATGGTCTAAGTATAATGAGGACCAGAAAGTAATAGAGACAGGAGTTGAAAGACAGCTGAATCTTTCTGCTCCTGAGTGGTACCACTCCTGAGTGTAATAATACCTAAAATTGAAAAGCAAGAAATAGAAGTAAATAATAAAATAATCTGCTAAATATTTGTGAGTGGCTGCCTCTGGGGAGTGAGAAATAGTGAAGCCAAACAGGCATCAGAGCCTGCTGACTTCTGCAGCAAGCCTCCAGATTTATTTGAAATTTTGAATTATATATATATATGACTGATTTTCAAAAATAAAAATAAAACAAAGACTAAATATAATTCATCATTCATTTTAGAATAAGAAAAGCCATATGAGATGATTTTTGAAAATGCAAGAAAGTCTTCAGTTCTTAAAATGAGTTGATATGAAATTGTTTTCTATTAGGTGAGAGAAAAAAATAGTAAAGTTTTCTAAAGAACTTAACTTTTCAAAAAATCTTGTCAATGCAACATTAAAATAAAATAATCAGTTGATTACTCAACTGCTCTATTTTTAGATCCTGTGACATTTTTGTTTTTATTACCTTTCAACAGAAAAAGACTTCTTTGCTAAACTTAAGTGAACAGCTAAAATTCTGCAAAGGGCAGAGAATGAATTTCCTCAGAATTTTAATGCAATGGCAACACAAGAGGTTCAAACTGTCCCTTGCCAGAATATAAGCATTTCACAACCCCAGGAAAATGTATAGCAAAATGAGGAAATGGAAATTACAGGGAAAACAGTAATAAATTGCACAGTATCTTTTCTAGAATTAGGAATATAATTAGACCCTCTATAGGAATATAAAAGGAAATCCATAACAAAACAAAGAATACTCAAATCATAAGAAATTCACTTATGTGTTCCTACCCTTGGAGCACTCCAGTTAAGCTTAGGAAATACACTGCCCCCTAAGGAATTGATAGCTTCTTGAACTTTAGTAGTGAACTCAGGAAATTCTGGTGCCTATAGAGAGAAAGAAGAAACCAGTTGGGCAAATGAATATAATCATAATAGATATGGAAAGCAAGATCATAATCTCAAGTTTATAGTTTAAGATGTTAAAAGCAGAATTTAGAATACAAATTACCATCAGAATTTCTGAACTTAGCTAGATAAAATCAATGATCAAATAACATTACCCTGAAAAAGGAAAAAAAAAAAAAAAATAGCTGTTTAAATGACATTTTGCAAAAGAATCAAAACCCATAAAGCTAAATAAAACAACAGACTTCAGCAGGCATCTGGGAATGTGAGGAAGGAAGGAATGAGTCTCTTAAAACGTACCTACATAAAACCAGTATTTAAGTGAAAAGAGGCAGATGGAATATTGGAATATCACCAGTACTCCAAACTCACTGCCATTGAGTCAATTACAACTCATAGCAACCCCCATTGGGTTTCCAAGGCTATAAATCTTTACAGACTTTACGAAACAGACTGCTTCATCTTTCTTCCACGGAGCAGATAGATGGTGGGTTCAAACCACTGGTTAGCAGCCAAATGCCTTAACCACTACACCAACTGAGTCCCTACACATACTCCAGTTCTTACTAATAACAGCCCACATTTAAAGTGCCAGAAGACTTTCCATTTGGAGAGAAAGAATCTTGGACAGATCCCCAAAAGGCTTCATGAGAATGAAAAACAAATTAAGTGGTAAAATGTATTTAAACACTGTTATTTCCAGGCAAGTTTTAATATAAACAAACCTCAAAAATAGGACCCAGGTTATGTTAAAATGTCTTTCCTTTTTGGTTGATTTTAGAATACATATTTTATATAAGCAAGTGACTAAAACGTTCTAAGTATTCATTTCAACCAGGAAGTAAATAGAAATACAGTTCTTAAGGAACTTAAATTTGAAGGCCAGTTTGCACTGCTGTGAGCCTTATGTCACTATCAAAGGAGTACATGGAAACAAATCAGAGAAAAGAGGAGTAATTCATTTTAAGAGAGATGGAAATGGAGCTGTCAGGCGAGACAGAAAATAAAAATATTAACACAGATTCTACACACAGCCATTTTATTTAGGTTATTCCCTTTATATTTGCTGCCCCCTACTGGGGAATTGGAAGTTCTGAAAAAACCCAGTAATAACTTCCATAGAAAAAAGTTAGAATGGGTCTAAACCAAAAAACCAAACTCACTGCTGTCAAGTGGATCCCAACTCATAGCAACCCCTCCCTGGGCTGCCGAGGCGGTTATCACTACGGAAGTAGACTGCCCAACCTCCCTTCAGAGGAGTGGCTGGTGGGTTTGAACTGCCAGCTTTCTGGTTAGCAGTCAAGTGCCTTAGGCACTACACTACCAGAGCTCCAGAATGGGTCTAGTATTAACTAAATTACATTCTCCAGAGTGGTTTATGCTGAATCTCAGGCTCTAATCCTATTATAACACAGAAAATGCTGAAAAGAGTCTGGGAGACAATTCAAAGAAATGTAAATTTTTAAAATGGCAATATATCCCCAAAACTAGAAATCAGTTTTAAGCAAAAGGCTACTGAGTACAGAAGGAGCCCTGGTGATGTAATGGGTAAGTGCTAGGCTGCTAACTGAAAGGTTCATGGTTCAAACCCACCCAGTGGCTCCATGGTAGAAAGACCTCGTGATCTGTTTCTGTAAAGATTATAAGCAAGAAATTCCTATGGGGCAGTTCCACAATGTCACATGGAATTACTACAAGTCAGAATGGACTCCGCTATAACCAACAACTGCATAAAGAAGGGCAAGATTAAGGGCAGATTAGGCTACATTTCTTTCTGTTGCACAGTCTGATCTCTACATTGGTTAACAGTATTTTTAGTTATTTATAGCCAAAATCCAAAACCAAACTCATTGCCATCGAGTCAGATTTGACTCATAGCCACCCCTCCTTGGGTTTCCGAGGCAGTATCACTACAGAAGTAGATTGCCCAACCTTCCTTCCAAGGAGTGGCTGGTGGGTTTGAACCGCCAGCTTTCTGGTTAGCAATCAAATGCCTTAGCCACTATGCCACCAGAGATCCCTATTTATGCCCAGTCTTCTACTAAACTACTTCTTCAGTTTAGATACTTGAAACTAAACCATAGTTTAGAGAGTTTCAAAATTAGTAACAGCACTAAATTTTCATTCCCTTCTCCCCATCAAAGTGCATTACAATTTACATTAAGCCGTTAATTTCCTTTAATCCCCTGAAGCTGCTGATTTGGATTCCCTAAAGCTCTAGCAATAAAAAAACCTTAGATCTCCATTAGCAATGTTTCCTTTGAAAGGCACAGTTACACAATCTTACCACATGAAAGGGCTTAACCTTCAAGGACAGAGCAATGCTCCTACCCCATTAAATTTAACATCTAACATTTACTTTATATTTATGTATTATATAAGCATGGAATGTATGAATAAGAATCCAGGAAAACTGGAAGTTAACAAAAATGAAATGGAATGCATAAAGATTGATATCCTAGGCATTAATGAGCTGAAATGGACTGGTTTGGGCCATTGTGAATTAGACAACCATATGATCTACTATGCCAGGAATGACAATTTGAAAATGGCATGGCATTCATCCTCACAAAGGATGTTTCAAGATATGTCCTGAAATACAAAGCTGTCAGTGATGGGGTAATATCCATACGTCTACAAGGAAGACTAGTTAATACGACTATTATTAAAATTTATGCACCAACCACCAAAGCAAAAGATGAGGAAATTGAAGATTTTTACCAACTTCAGCAGTCTGAAACTGACCAAATGTGCAATCAAGATGTGTTAATTATCACTGGTGACTGGAATGCAAAAGTTGGAAACAAAGAAGAATCACTAGTAGTTGGAAAATTTGGCCTTGGTGACAGAAATAATGGAGATCACATGATAGAATTTTGCAAGCCCAATGACTTATTCATTGCAAACACTTTTTTTTAAGAACACAAATAGTGGCTATACATGTGGACTTCACCAGATGGAATACACAGGAATCAGACTGACTACATCTAAGGCAAGAGGTGATGGAAAAGCTCAGTTATCTTCAGCCAAAACAAGGCCAGGAGCTGATTGTGGAACAGACCATCAACTGCTCATATGCGAATTCCACTTGAAGTTGAAGACCATTACAATAAGTCCATGAGAGCCAAGATACAATATTGATTATATCCCTCCTGAATTTAGAGATCATCTAAAGAATAGATTTGATGCACTGAACACCAACAACCAAAAACCAGAATTGTGGGATGACATCAAGTACATCATCCACAAAGAAAGCAAGAGGTCATTAAAAAGACAAGGAAAAAGACCAAAATGGATGTCAGAAGAGACTCTGAAACTTGCCCTTGAGCAGAGAGTAGCTAAAGCAAATGGAAGAAATGACAAGATAAAAGAGCTGAACAGATTTCAAAAAGCAGCTCGAGCAGACAAAGCCAACTACTATAATAAAATGTGCAAATACTTGGAGTCAGAAAACCAAAAGGGAAGAACAGGCTCGGCATTTTTCAAGTTGAAAGAACTGAGAAAAAAATTTAAGGCTTGAGTTGCAACACTGCAAGATTCTATGGGCAAAATATTGAATGATGCAGGAAACATTAAAAGAAGATGGAAGAAATACACAGTCACTGTACCAAAAAGAACTGGTAGATCTTCATCCATTTCAGGAGGTGGCATATGATCTAGAACTAACAGTACTGAAGGAAGAAGATGAAGCTGCACTAAAAGGAGTGGCAAAAAACAAGGCTTCAGCAATTGATGGAATACCCACTGAGATGTTTCAACAAACAGATGCCCAACTGAAGGCACTCACCCAGTTAAGCCAAGAGATTTGGAAGAAAGCTACCTGGCCAACTGACTGGAACAGATCCGTATTTGTACCCATTCCAAAGAAAGGTGATCCCACAGAATATAGAAATTATTGAACAATATCATTAATCTAGCACAAAAGTAAAATCTTACTGAAGGTAATTCAAACACGGTTGCAGCAGTATATAGACAGAGAACTTCCAGAGGTACAAGCTTGATTCAGAAGAGGACATGGAACAAGGGATATCACTGCTGATGGCAGATGGATCTTGGCTGAAAGCAAAGAATACCAGGAAGATGTTTATCTGTGTTTTATTGACTCTGCAAAAGCATTTGATTGTGTGGATCATAACAAATTGTGGATAACATTGAGAAGAATGGGAATTCCAGAACACTTAATTGTATTCATGAGGAACCTGTACATAGACTAGGAGACTGTGGTTCTAACAGAACAAGGGGACGCCGCATGGTTTAAAATCAAGAAAGGAGTGCATCACGGTTGTATCCTTTCATCATATTTATTCAATCTATATGCTGAGCAAATAAGCCAAGAAGCTGGACTATAGGAAGAATGAGGCATCAGGATTGGAGGAAGTATCATTAACCAACCTGTGATACACTGACAATACAAATGTGCTTGCTGAAAGTGAGGATGACTTGAAGCACTGATGAAGACTGAAGAATACAGTCTGCAGTATGGATTACATCGCAATATAAAGAAAACAAAAATCCTCACAACTGGACCTATAAGCAGCATCACAACAAATAGAGAAAAGATTGAAGTTGTCAGAGACTTCACATTGCTTGGCTCTACAATCGACACCAATGGAAGCAGCAGTCAGGACATTCAATAACATATAGCACTGGGCAAGTTGGCTGCAAAGGACCTCTTTCAAGTGCTGAGGAACAAGGATGTGTCCTTGAGGACTAAGGTGCTCAGCGTGACACTATCCATGATATTTTCAGTTGCCTCATATGCATTGAGAGCTGGACAATGAATAAGGAACACCAAAGAAGAGCTTTTGAGTTCTGGTGCTGGCAAAGAATGCTGAGAGTACCATGGACTGCTAACAGAACTAACAGATCTGAAGAAGCGTAGCTGGAATGCTCCTTGGAAGTGAAAATGGCCAAACTGTGTCTCATCTACTTCAGTCACATTATCAGAAGGGACCATTCCTGGAGACGGACATCATGCTTGGTAAGGTGGAAGGTCTATGAAAGAGGGAAAGGCCCTCAACGAGATAGACTGACACGGTGGCTGCGGCAATGGACTCAAGCACAGCAAGGATCTTGGAGTTGGTGTGGGACCAGGTATGTTTCGTTCTGCTGTGCATAGGATTGCTATGAGTCAGATACAACTTGATGGCACCTAACAACAACAACATTATATTTTTAAAGACGTGATCAGTTGCCTCAAATACTCAAATAATTCAAGTTTTGGAAATGTTGCCATAATGATCCTACAACAAATTTAAATTATAAAGTTTATAACTCCAGGGAAAAATTTGTGCTTTAGCAGAAGACTATACCTTGTCTACATCCAATGCATCCCCCCTGGGAGATTTAACACTCCTTCATCTTTCTCCCATGGAGTGGCTGCTGGGTTTGAACTGCCGACCTTTTGTTTGGCAGTCAAATGGTTTAATCACTACACAACGAGAGCTCCTAATACCCAGTATACTGCCCTGAATATGACAAAAAATGTATATGTTGAATTGAACTGAATCTTCATAATTTACCTGCACAAGATTCATAGTAAAATAAAACATGTAAATTTTCCATTTCTGCACATGTTTGCATGTATGCCTTTTTATACCTAAGGAAATAAATTGGTTTTAAGTATTTCCACTTCTTTTTTTCTTGCACCCTGGAAACTATATCTCTTTCATTAAAAAAGTAGAAGCATCTTTTTATTTAGAGTTGTAATAGAATATACCCTTGTCCTAAACAAGTTTCGTATTTTGTGCCTCTACATTTATTTTTAGGGAATTTTACAAAAATCTTTCTCTTTATCTCAAGGCATTTACCTACTATATTTTTAGAAGTATATTTTTTGCTTAGGAGCTCTGGTGGTACAGTGCCTATGGCATCTGACAGCTAACCAGAAGGCTGGTGTTTTAAAGCCACCAGCCACTCCTTGGAAGGAAGACTGGGCAATCCATCTACTTCTATAGAGATACCGTCTACAGACCCAAGGAAGGGTCACCATGAATCAGAATCGACTCGACAGCAATGAGTTTGGTTTTGGTTGTTTTGCTCAATTATTCCATTCAAATATTTTTCTAAAAAGTATTATAAGTTAAAATTGACAAAAGCACTCTTATTTGGAAAGATCATAGTATGTTCAATCAACTTCAATTTTATATAAAATTTTGGATAAAGTCACATATTTCTCTACTTTTACTTAAAAGAAATTATAATTTTTATGCCATTTGAGTATATCTGAGTAAGTATAGATTTTTTTCACTTTAATTCAGATCCCACAAACCCAAAGACTAATATCAGGCTTGATTTCATCTTTCAAAGCTTAACAGAAATAAATCAAAGGATTAAATATACACCTAGAGTATTTCCTTTATAGTCAAAAGGAAAAAGAGGGTAAACCATGTTTGCTTATTAAACAATTACAGGTATTTTTTCAACATAATAAATAATAGTTCACAAAGGAAAAGATATTTGAAATAGCGAGTACATGGGAATTTAGAAAAATATGAATTTAAACCTTAATGCTAACCCTTGTGTGACAGTGTGGGGCTGTCCGCACAATGGCGCTGCTCTGATCTTACCGTCAGTGTGGTTGTGTTCTCATCATCTGACCACTGCATGGGAAAGAGGATAAAAATAATACATTAAATAGTAGAAGTACTGTGCTCTTTTAAAAAATCATCTATACAAGACCAAACGATCAACAATTACTTTAAAATTAAGATGAGAATGTAAGGGAGCTGGTAAACTAGATTAATGGAAATGGAAAAAACAGAATGGAAATATTGAGAATGTTCACATACTGTAAAGAATGTAACTAATGTTACCAAAAGAATTTGTGTAGGAATTGTTGAATGGGTACTTAAACTGCTGTGTAAAACCTTTATTGAAAACACAGTAAAATACTATTTTAAGAAAACAAAATAGTGAATTTGGCTTCCAAAAAGCAGCATTCCATCAAAAAGTGATACATAAACAGGAGACATCTTTTCCTGAACACAAAATATACATAAAAGCATGGCAAAGTGAGATGTTTATATAGTTTTTCACGTCTATCAAATGTAAGCTAAGGTTTAAATGTCAGAACCATTTCAGAGATCATTTAAATTAGAACAGTCTACAGAACAGACATTTTATTTACCAACCTGTATTTCTTCTGCCTCATCATCACTGTCTGGCTGAGAGCATGTTGGTGGATCTTCCCTAGAAAAATATAAGGCAAGAGAAAGGCTTTGGTATCATAAAGCAATAATTTTAGGTGTGTTCAGTACATTAAAAACAGCCGTAGAATTGGAGGACAACATCAGGAAAAGTTCACTATGACTGAAACTAATAAAAATCAAGAGGAAACAAGAGTACATTTACAATATGAGATAGCAGAATAAAAACTTTCAGCTTTCTTCTCAGAAATAACTAACAACAAGAAAAAGAGAACCTCAAACACTATTTCTGATGATAGAGAAAATCATCTACAACTCTGAACCTCAATATTTAAGAAAGGAATGCCATAGGCAGAAGATCAAACAAGAATCGGAAAATACCCAACAAGTAGAACAAAGAAGACAAAGAGATGAACAACAGAGAAGAAATTATAAAATTCAGAGGATCAATCAACCAGATCCTACATCTAAATAGGAGTTCCAGGGAAAAAAAAGTGAGGAAATTATCACATAAAATAATTTTAAATGTCCCAAAACTAAAAACACAACTATTCAGAATGAAAAGATTGAACAAGTATTTGGCACAATGAATGAAAAAGAAACCTCAGATGATACAACAGGTTGTTTACAAAGACGGCCACAATTACTTTTCCCATCTCTTTATGCATAACTGTACAGGGTGACTTTGCAACTCTTCGTATAAATAAATGGCATTTATTTTCCCCTCCCTTTAATTTGAGGTGCTCTGATGGCACAGTGGTTAAGGCCTTCAGTTACTAACCAAAAGGTCAGTGGTTCAAACTCACCAGCTTCTCTGTGGGAGAAAGATTAGACAGTCTGCTTTCACAGAGATTTACCTTGGAAACCCAATAGGACAGTTAAAATCAACTCGATGGCACTGGGTTTGTTTTTTGGTGGGTGCAGGTAGAAAGAAGCCCTGGTGGTGCAGTTAAAGCGCTATGCTGCTAAACAAAAGATCAACAATTACTTTAATGATGGTGTAAGTCCATCAATTTCTCTATAGGAGAAAGGTACGGCAGTCTGCTTCTGTAAAGATACAGCCTTGGAAACTCTATCGGGCACTTTTATCCTTCCCTGGCATAGTGCCTAAGGCATTTGACTGCTAACCAGAAGTCTGATGATTCAAACCCACCAGCCACTCTTCAGAAGGAAGATTGGTCAATATACTTCCATAGTGCTATGTCCTTGGAAACCTAAGGAGGGGTCACTATTTGTCTGATCCGACTCAAAGGCAGTGAGTTTGGTTTTTGGTTTAGAGTTGCTATGAGTTGCAAATGACTGGTTTTTCGGTTTGGGGAGCTACAAATGGTTTGCAATCAGCTGCTAACCTAAAGACTGCGGATACAAACTCACCCAATGGCTCTAAATAAGAAAGGTCAGGCAATGTGCTTCCATAAAGATTAGAACCAGTAAATCTCTATGGAGCAGTATTACTCTGTAGTAAGCGGGGTCACCATGATTTGGAACTGGCTCAACGACAATGAGTTCCTTTAAGTTAAGCTGGTTTGAAGACTGACTCATTTTGACCAAGAGAATGTGGAACAAGTGACACTGTTATTCTGAGCCTAGGTGTCAAGAGTTCTTACAGTTTCTGCTCTGGCCTTTCTGAAATGCTGCCTGCAGTGAATTACTTGATGTGGCCCTTCTAGCCCTTGTCCTCCATTCGGTGATGTATGGTAATCCTATTATCCATGCCTGTTTGGGGTGGTGTGGTAGTTAAGGTCAGGTATCAACTTGGCTGGGCAGCTGGTAGTAGTCATTCCCTATAATGACTGGCAATCGACTCTGTGATGGGATTTAGGTTAATTCTGTTGGGGCAACGCAGGTGGAATGAATCTTGAGTCCTGCCTTGCTGGAGGGTATAATTCAAATCACCACCCTTAAGCTTTCCTGAGGGTATACCTACAAATCTCCTGGGAAGATTCGCTCTCCTCTTGCTCCAGCTTTGTGTCTTGGATCATCCTCATCTCACCCCTGGATTTGGGACAGCAGCCATCATCTGATCTGCTGATAGAGGTTCATCAAACCCTGAGAGTTGGGAGGATCCACCAGACCTACTCACGGACCCGGGACTCACCAGCCTGCCAGCCTCCACCACTACTACGTGAGATGAACCCTTGGGTGTCTGTGAGTTCTGTGAGGCGTTACAGTGAAATACAGAACCCTAAGACTGGGGAAATTACTGGGAGGAGGAGGAGGAGTTAACGTCTGAAATGATAGAGTGGCATGGTAGTTTGGACATTTGGGACATCTTTAACCTCTGCCTATTGGGGACCGGCCTCATGCTGATCTTTCTAAGAGAAATTGTTCAAGCACTGCCACTGCTATGTAAAGAAGCTAGAGCTGGCCTGCCTGAGAATGAGTGGAAAAGAGACCCAGCTGAAGTCAGAATCAACTTCCACACACGAGTGAGACCATCTGAAGACTATCCACCTCAGCTGAGCTACCAGACGACTAAGTTTCATGAGTGACCTCAGCAAGACAAACAGAAGACCTGCCCAGAGTCAAGAATTATGAAGGGTCTAAGATTTTACTCTACTTGCAAACTAACAAGTTAGCCTGCAGTTTCATAGAAGCTGACAGAAAACATGAGACTCCTGGATCAGAAGCAAAGGACTCTCTATTCAAGATACAGCATGAAGCATGAGCTTCATCTTCACATCAACTCCTCTTGCCCTGAAGTCCCACAGGGGTCAAAGAGAGTGGCTCAGGCAGATGCTGTGCACACAGTTCATTCACAAAACAAATGAAGAAGCATGAAATTAGGGAAGTCCACCTTTTATAATGAGGTGCAAGTAAACCTACCCAATCTCTGACCAGAAAAAAGATACTATCTTTTTGATATGGTTCAATAAAAACTCTGTTCTTTGCTCTGAAAGCAGACACTGTATCTTGAAAGGCTGCTTGCTATATAAGCAACCTAGAAAAGACAGGGACAAAAGTTGTCAGTGTCTCTGCTTGAAAATGGACATAACATGAGAGACCCAAGGAGAATTATCTCCCAACAACACTGAGCAATTATTGGCAAATAAAATAGTTCTTATTTTAAGCCACTAAGGGGGTGGGGTATTAGGCCACAATGGATGGCTGATACAGATGATTATCATGAGATATAAAAACATAAGAAATTCCAAGAATGTTCATAAAGCAAAACAGGTCACCATGTTGTTGCTGTTAAGTGTCATCGAGTTGGTTCCAACTCATAGTGATCGCACATACAACAGATGGAAACACTGCCCAGTCTTGAGCCATCCTCATAATTGTGGCTATGTTTGAGCCCAGTGCTGCAGCCACTGTGTTTATCTATCTCACTGAGGGTCTTACTCTTTTTCACCAACCCTCAACTTTATCAGTCATGATGTCCTTCTCATGAACTGGTCCCATCACTCTTGATAACACATCTAAGGTACACGAAACTCTCGCCATCCTCACTTCTTAGTATTCTGGCTGCAATTCTTCCGAGATAGTTTGTTTTTCTGCAGTCCATGTATTTAATATTCTTTGCCAACACCATAATTCAAACGCATCAATTCTTCTTCAGTCATCCTTATTCACTATCCAGATTTCACATGCACAAAGCGATTGAAAATACCATGCCTTGTGTCCTGGTTACCAATTGTTGCGCTGACAAGATTATATCACAAATGGGATGGCTTTAACAAACAGGAGTTTATTCTCTTACAGTTTGGAGGCTTTAAGTCTGAGTTCAAAGTGCCAGGCTCTAGGGGCTGGGTGAAAGCCAACCCTGGCATTCAGCTTTGCCTCTCACTCCCGGCCCACTAAAGCTGGAGGCTCTTCTTCACTCAGGCAGCTGCTGGCTGCTGAGGCTGACAAACCCAAGGTTGGCAAGTAAAAAGGCACAGTCCCAATGTTACCAAACAACACAGCAGGCCACTGATTCAAGTCCACTGAAAGTCCCAAGATCGGCAGAGCATGGCAGGCTGCTGAACAATGACTCGGCTACATGAAGGGTTCAAGCACGCCATAAATGAGAGACCATTCCCAAAGCTGCTTTTTACATACGGGAAGCAGACCACATCCCTAAAGCAGCTACTCAGCTACTTGTGGTAGATCCCACCATTGAGTTGATTGCCAGTCTCATCATGGGGAGTAACTGCCACTAGCTGCCCAGCCACTCAACCAGGTCCAGCCAAGCTGACCCACAACTTTAACTACCACACCTTGGGTTAGTTAGGTGTACCTAAGTCTTGAAAGTGACATCTTTGCTTTTTAACACTTTAAAGAGATCTTTTATAGCACATTTGCCCAATGCAATATTTGATTTTTTGACTGCTGCTTCCATGGGCATTGATTGTGGATCCAAGTTAAAATTAAATCTTTGACAATTTCATTATTTTCTCCATTCTATCATGAGGCTGCTTACTGGTCTAGTTGTGATGATTTTTGTTTATATTGGGGTGTAATTCATACTGAATGTTGTAGTCTTTGATTTTCATCAGGAAACACTTCAAGTACTCTTCACTTTTAACAAGTAAGGTTGTGTCATTCGCATACTGCAGGTTATTAATGAATTTTCCCCCAATTCTGATGCTATATACCTCTTCATATAGCCCCGCTTCTCAGATTATTTGCTCAGTATACAGATCAAATCCGTAAGGTAAAAGGATATAACTCTGACACACATATTTCTTGATTTTAAACTACAAAGTATCTATTTGAACAACTGCATCTTGGTCTATGTACAGGTTCCACGTGAACACAATTAACTGCTCTGGAATTCCAATTTCTCATGTTATCCATAATTTTTTATGATCTACACAGTTGAATGCATTTGCATAATCAAGAAAAGATAGGTAAACATCTTTCTGCTATTCCCTTTCAGCCAACATCCATCTGACATAAGCAATGACATCACTAGTTCTACATCCTCTTCCAAATCCAGCTAGAATTTCTCACAGTTCCCTGTTGATATACTGGTGTAACCATTTTTAAATTATCTTCAGCAATATTTTATTTGTGTGTGACATCAATGATACTGTTTGATAATTTCCACTGGATCAC